CCAGGCCTGGAAGGGAACCGTCCCCCGACGGCGGTTAAAAGGCTCCCCTGCGCGTGGGATCGCTTTGCGGGCATCCTCTGGGGTGCGCCCTCATGGGGGCCCGCGCAGACTCCCTCAGGGTCCTGCCTCGCGCCCGCCTCTGCCCTATATTCGAGAGCGTTTGTCTGTGCGAGAGCTCCGGCTAAGTGGTAAGAGGTAGGGCCAGCAAGTGGGGCATGCCGCTTCCTCCTAGCCTAAAGCAAGGGCAGGGCGTGGTTGGGCCAGGGCACTGGGATATGCCTGCAATGGGACTGAAATCCATACAGAAAAGAGGTGGAATTAGCAGGCAGGTAAAAGGGGCTGGGGGGGGGTGCGTCCCTCCTGCATCCAGGACTGCCCCAGCCTCCCACCCCTCTTCAGGGAGGATGTGGGGGGCAAGAGAGCTAAAGCTCATTCCCCCGCCCCATCCCTGATTTGCACTGGGACATTACTGCTCTTCTTTCTTCAGAGAGTAAGGAAATTGCACACTTGACTGCATTTCTCGCTCTGGCTGGGGAGCGCAGGGTGCAGACAAACCTGCATTTGTCCCAGCTGCAGGGGACATGCACCCCTCCCTCGGCTGTGCCCATGGGAGCTGCAGCTATCGACAGGTGCTTCTTACCTGGCTTCCACTCGCTGTGGTGAGAAACTGCTGAGGTAGTTCTCTCTCCCTGGGGCACTTCGCATACTGAACTCCTCATTTACACCCTCACCTAAAAACAATGATTTAAATGAAGAAAAATACAAATTGAATTATGGACCCAAGAAATGCCAGGTAAATCATCTAATAATAAATAAGCAGTGATCGGGAACTCTCATATGACACCAGTGTGAGTGAGATTTTTTTTTAATGAGCTTTTATGGTCTTGTTGCATAGAGTGAAAATCTTTTACAAGGAGAGACTTGAGGAGGGAGCCTTAAAATGAACCCTAAATTAAGACATCTTCTAACAGACTTGGTTGGTGTGGTGTTGGGCAAACAAATCTGATAGGTCTTGTTCCTTCTTTGAGTGCTTGCTTATATATATTTCAATTGAGGTGTATTTGTGCCACAAGCACAATTGCCACAAAGTTTTTACCTTAGCTGCTGCCCATTGGGTTGGCTGTGGAGTGCATTGGTGAGGCACACTATATATATGACATTGGTGAATCAGCAGCCCCTCAGTTCCTTCTTACTGCAGTGATAGCTGTTGGAACTTGTGGCTCTCATTTATCTAATGCTTCCAGCTCTTTGTTGTGTAAATAGTTAAATTAGTGTTAGTTAAGTTAGTGTTAGCAGTTGGAGGAGAAAGGGGGGCAGAGATTTCCTCTTCTCACTGGTGGTCCTTTTGGGGCCTGGCACATGCCAAAGTCCTAGAGCTTCAAACTCTACATGTCTTGCCTCAAGTCTACGCTTATGAGCAGGAGTCGACAAATACACTCGCCCACGGCAAGTAGATATTACCAGCTGGCAAGTGCAGGGGTGGACTGGCCCGGTGCGCCATTGTGACGGGCTAACTGAAGCCCGCACTACGGGGGGGTGCGGCCCCATCTGATCTGCTGACTGGAAAGGGGGAAGTGTGGTGATTCTCAGCACCGGGCTGCCTGCGTGCAGCTCTGGCACGAGGAGGTGGGGCTCAAGCCAGAGGGGGTTGTCTACCGGCAGACGCCAGGACGCTGGCGTGATGTGACATGGCGTCCTGACGTCATGGCTGGCGACCGCCGGATTCAAAAAGGCTCCGGCAACCTCGCAAAGTGGAAGGCAGAAGCCAGATAGGGAAGGGGAAGGGGATTGTGCTGTGCTGTGGGAAGGGGAGGGGAAAAATATGGGGAAGGGGCTTGTGCGGAGGGTAGGGGAGGAGGTCAGGAGAAGAAGAAAGGGGAAGGCACCAAGGGACAAGGGTGCTCCTTGCATGGAGCTGACTGATTGAGTGGGGCTGATTAATCACCTGTGAAGCTGTGCTGCAGTACAGCTTAGAGGGAACACTGCTCAGCACCATCACTTCCCTGCAGAGTTCACCTTACATGGCTCTCATGCCCCAGTGTGGCCTTCCAAAGCATCCAAATCCTCAGCGTTAGTGTGCCTGGCACCGCCAGCTCCCTCTGGTACCAGCGGTCCCTTAAGACTACTGACCTCTCAACACCAGTCTGCTACATGCAGAGTCCCATCCTCTTGCAGTCTCCAAGAGATGATCCTTGGGTGTTGGGGGTATCCTTCAGAGTATGGCCCCTCGTCTCATTGCTGATCTTTGTGCATGCATCTTTTTCTTGATCCTTGACATGATATTCTCGTTGCCAATCCCGCTCTCTGCACCAGCCCTGCTTTCCACACGGTTTTGCAGCATACTGACTGATTGCAGTTAGTACCATTAATGGTGCAATTAAAAGGTCATTTCCATGCTTCGTGGCACTGTTGATGTGTCCTGTACTGCTCCACAGTTCGGGCTTACCCTTGCTTTCCTGGAGGAAAGCCTTCGTAGCATCAGACTGTGACACAGGCGGGTCCTTTCCCACCCAAAGACCTAGGTACTCCAGAGCAGTGGTATGCATGTGTAGCTGTGTACACAGTTAACCAATGAGCCTGGACAGTTAACCGTCACAGTTACATGCACCCTCTCCCCTTATCCCCTGATCCTGTGGTGGACCAGCTTGCTATATGCCTTATCTCCATTCCCACTAGTCCATAAGGTGCTCCTCAGGAACTGGACAAATGTCATTCTGGTAGCCCCGGCCTGAGTATGCCAACATTGGTTTACCCTACCCTCTTGGACTTGTCAGTTTGGCCACAATTCCACTTCCCCAGCTCTTGGATCACATCACCCTGTCCACCTCTCTGTGCCCATGGGTCCACCTTTTGAGCCTTTAGCAACTATTCTACCTTTCACGGAACGTGGCTTTTCTCATCACCTTCACCTCCCCCATTCAGGTATCGGACCTGTATCAGAGGCAGCAGGGGTGGAGAGGAGAAGCAGGAGCCAGTGCTGACGGTAGCTGGCTTAAAAGCCAGTTATCCCAGCACTGGCTCTGTGGTGCCGCCCCTCTCCCTGTGCTGCATGCCTCAGTTGGAATAGATATGAGCATTGCATCTCAAAGAAAACAGTTACAGAGAAAGCAGTCTCAGAGATGTAGCAGTTACAAAAGAGGGATGTGATTGGTTAACTGGTTAAATATAATGTTTAACTGGTTAACCTATTAAAGAGAGCGTAGGCAGGGGTCCTGGACTGGAGTGCCCCCCACTTGTGGCGGGCCCGGTAGGGCTGGAGCAACCCTCTGCCCATGGAACTAGTAAGCCTGACCCATTAAGGATGAGGCTTACCAGTTAATGATTCACTTTCCTATTACAAAAGGTTGTTTTATGATTAGTTCTTATAAGGTTTCAAGTCCATCCCTTTTGTGATGAAATTTCTTTTCTTACACGTTCCAGCGGGACATTGAGTGCAGTGCTTATTTTTAAATCTTTTTATTAAAGTAGACTCAGGTTGTCAAAACACATCACTGGAGGTGAAGCTGGGTGGATTTCAACTTGCTGAATTTTACGTTCTCTTAGGCATCTGTGTAATACAAGAGGGTCCAACCCACAGCCAACTTGCAAAACTATGCATGAGAATATATCTATTGTGAAATTAATAGATGGACATTTATGATATAATCTCTGATTACTTAATGAACAGAAAAATCTGTCATCTTTTCTGGTATAATTAAATTTTCATAGATGTGTGATTATATGAGCAGTAAATAAAACACAGCCAAAGTCAGGTATGGCATGCAAAATTTCAACAGGGTTGTTTTTGCTTAGGAAAGCTTGTTGCAGTGGAGTGAAGAAGAATGGTCCAATAGTTAGGGCACTGAATTTAAAATTTGGATTTGAAGCAGAGTCCCAAACAGAATTCCTGTGTGACCTTGAGCAAGTGTCTATGCTCTGTTCCCCATCTGAAAAATGAGGATAATAGGCAAGAACTGAGGATAATAGGCAAGAACTATCTCATGGGAAGATGATTGTCATTGAGATTAGGATGGAGCTGGGGATAAGGCATTTGAGGTGTAGGAGGAGGATCCAGGCTGGGGCTAAGGTTTTGACGTACAGGAGGGGGGTGAGAACAAGAGGTTGGGTTGCGGTTGCAGGGTCTAGGGACTTAGAGTGCATTAGGGGACTCAGGGATGGGGCAGGAGGTTGGGGTGCTTACCTGAGGCAGTTTCCCTTTTGTGGGGAAGCAGGTGGCCCAGTGTAGGCCACACTGCGTACATTTATCTGCAGACACAGTATCCAGCAGCACCCATTGTTGAGGAAAATTGCTAGATTTACTCTAAAGAGAGAGAATTTTTCTGCAGGATTTGAAATTGGTTAAATTGTTTCTGTTACAACTTTAAAATTTCAAATCAAGGAAAGTTAATATCAGAGCCTAATGTCTCATTGGGTCCCTCAGTCAGAAATAGGTCTGCAGAGATCCTATGCTCTGCAGAACAGTGAGGGACACATACTGGGGAACTCAAGTTTTAGGGCAGTGTGGACTCCATAGAAAGAAGGCATCTGGGGAGTTCAGTTACGAGCAGCGCTACAAGATGTGTGGAAAGCAATGACATTTGTGAATCCCCACGCTTGCCCAGTAGCTTTATACGCCATGACACTTACTCACAAAACCACTCTGAATTTTAATTTAAGACTGATAGTTGCAGGATGGGAAGAAGAAAGCAGGATTATAGGCCTGGTCAACACTAAAAAGTTAGGTTACCCCCAGGTACAGAAGCTAGGGTTGTGAAAAATCCACATCCCTGAATTATGTGGCTAAGCCAACTAGGGAAGTAAAATCCCATTTAAAAAATTAACCGGTTAAACGTTACGTTTAACCAGAAAACCGGTATCCCACAACAGGGCCCCGCCTGCTGTGGTGCCACAATTGTAACTCTATGGCATCCATAATGCAGACATGACCTAAGTAAAATGCACAAGGCACAGATCTTGGTTTGTTACAGCTAGTTCTTTTACGGAATAAAACCAATATACCTCAAAATGAATTCTGTGCTAACTTAAACCAAGCAGAACCCTACTGAATGCAGTGGAATTCCATGATGTGTAAGTCAGTACAGGTAATATTTGAAATGGTAGAAGTGTACTTTGTTTTTTAGAACCTACCTACTGAGAATTTAGACCCCAAAGCTCAAAACTCTCTCCATAACAATAATGGGCACAGCAAGCAAATTCTAACGCTTTTAAAATAAAATAAAAAAATAAGAACTTCTCTGGAGAAAACCAGGTGTGTGTAATTTTGTCCTTTCACAATTAAATCTTCACACCAGGCAATCATCATCTGCTGTTGTTAAATAAAACAGTGTTTTCTCATAAATGGAAGAGTATTCCTAGGGGAATTCTTTGTGACCGCACAATGCAGATTTTCATCCTCCCCATTTCCCAACTGGTGCTACAGAGTTGCTGGCCACCGACAGGGGCCGCTAACCTTGGCAGAGCCCAGCTCACAAATGGAAGATAGTGCTGGGGGTAAGGGGAGCCAGAGGGTTCTTGACAGATGTAATTTCTAGTATGCCTTGGAGGGAAGAGGCCATGTGCAGGAGACTCCATATAAAGGCAGGACTCCACATCAGGCTGTTTCTTCCTCTGGATCTCTGGCAGTACGTCTAGACTGCAGGCTTCTTTCGGAAGAAGCTTTTCTGGAAATACCCGCATTTTAACAGCTCTAGTTTTGTATACATTCAAACTTTGAAGACTCTGCAGAATGTCAAGATACTGGCCTACTGTTGACATGGTGCAGGATTTTTGTATGACTGTTAACTGAAACCTAGCTGATAAGGATGGAAAATAGTTTTTCTAGGTCAGAGGGTAACTTTAGCTTTGCGCATTCTCAGTATACGTGGTCAATTTAATATCCTCTTATCCTCAGTCTTTTCTTGTCTTTTCCAGATGGCTTGTTATAGCAGTTGGTTTAGTTCGATCATATCTGACTAAGGGTAGCTACCATAGTCTTTATTATGCAATAGAAAAGCCCTTGAAATTCTTCCAAACTGGAGCTCTGCTTGAGGTATGTTTACTTTTTTTAATGTTGCTAACAACTAAGCAAGTCTCAGAGGGGTAGCCGTGTTAGTCTGTAGCTAAAAAAACTTAAAACTTGTTTGTCATCTGAAGAAGTGGGTTGTGCCCACGAAAGCTCATGACACTATTTATATATTTTTGTTAGTCTCTAAGGTGCTACAGGACCACTGTTGTTTTTTAACTAAACAGGTGACAAGTGACAAGCTGTTGTTAAATGTCACTTCATTTTGAATGATCATCTAATAATTAGCAATGTTTATTTTCAGTGCACTTTACAAATATTCATTACATCAGTCCCTGCCTCTGTGATAGAGATTTTATCCACATTTTACAGATGTGTTGATGATAAAATAACAAAACTTCCTCTAATCTAAAATATAGACAGTGTCAAAACTGAAATATTAAGCATAGTACATTTCTGGAAACTTAGATGTTGACACTTGAAAAGTGCAGCAAGTAGTGATAACTTGGAAAGATTCCCAATTATAGTAGTGTTAATGCAGTGGTTCTCAGCCGGAGTTTGGGGCCCCCTGGAGGGTTGTGAACAGGTTTCAGAGGGGTTGTGAAACATGATTGGCATTAAACTCATAGGACCTATGACAGAAAGTCAAAACCCCATCATTCAAAACCGCAGCCAAGGGCCCTGAGCCCTGCTGTGTGGGGCTGAAACTGAATCCTAAGTAACTTAGCTTTGCAAGACCTGTGGGGCCCTGGCTAATTGCTCTCCTGTTTACCCCCTACCACCAGCCTTGAAAGAAAACCGTTATTGTAGCACAGGTGGAGTTTTTATCGCATGTTGTGGGGAAGGGTGGTTCAGAAAATAAAAGGCTGGGAACCCCTTTGTTAGAGGATACTGTTCTGTTTAAATTGTTTTACAAATGATTAAATTTGAAGTATCTCTGTTATTGATTAGAATTTTCTTTTTGTTCCAGATTCTACATTGTGCATTTGGTAAGCTTGAAATTGATTTTCCTGTTTTTTCTCATGGATAAAATACTGTCTTGATTTTTTTAAAATCATCATTTAGTTTTACTAATATTATGGCGTAAATGCCTAGTTTCGTTCTTGCATAACTTCCCTGACTTCTGTGTAAATGTAAATTAATTTCAGATGTCTTTTGTTAAAATATGAATTCAGTAAATTTTAATTCTAGTTGACAAAGAAATTTAGAGGAATCACAGTTTTAAAATTTGGCCAAACTAAAAGCAAACAATTACAAAGAGAGAGAAAATCACTTAATGAACACTTACATAGCCTTTCATGACAAAATATATAGCCCTCTTGAAGAGCTTTGTAAATGCAGTACAGCACACCATTTACCCATCTCTACACTTCTTTGTATTGCTTTTTCTTTCCCCCAAAACCTCCTTCATTTAGGAAGCTAAAATATCAGACAGCTGTGAGCATAATTACAATCTTTGATTTCTAGTATATCAACCAAAACAGAGTGAAGAGACGCTATCTTTTGAGAATTTACCGAGAGGGTGTGTTTTTTTCTGGTATTTAGATGGAGTTGGTTATCTTGGAACTAGGAGGTAAATTTCAATAGAATATAAACCACCTTGTATTTTAAATCTGATCTGACCCAACATTCTATTGTTTTAGTGTTCAGAAATGTCACTGTAGGAAATGGTTGCATCAGTACATCTGTTTAAAAGGTGGAGCTTTCTAAATCCTCTAAAACTGACATGATTAGCTGAATTTCTTTGAAATATGTTGCATCTCAGAATAATGTTACATTAGGTTAGAGCCAAATCTGGAGTAAGTTGAGCCAGGAGTTCCAAAGGCATAACCTTCCCCCTCCAGTAACCCTATTTAAAAAAAAAAAAAAAGTTTCTGGGTGGGTGTGATAGGGTGTACTAGGCTCAAAGGCCACCTGCTGGAGGCCTCAGGGCTCTGCCACACCTATCCCAGGAAGGGAGCAGTAGAGAAGTCCTCCAAGCAGGCTAGAGTGGCTGAAGGGCAAGCAGCCAATCAGAGCCCAGGAGGACCCCATAACAGGAGAAAGCAGGACAGAGCAGTAATTAGTTGCTGCATGGAGATGGAGAAGAAAGGACTCTGGACCTGGTTGCCTGGAAGAGCAGCAGGGCCATGGACACCTCAGCATGGGCAGAGATTGAGGGAGTGAGATGCTCCTGGCTAGCTGGTAGGATTGAGCCAAAGACAGCTTGCTAGCGGGGAACTCTGATGGAGCTCTTGCCTGGCTGCAGGGCCAGAGCCTGGGGAGGGCCATAGGACGATGTCACCAGTGAGGAAGCCATGAGGATACATCCTTATATCTGGGCTAGACTACTTAAAAACTAAAGCTTAGGGCACCTAGAGCGACAACACCAGAGGGATATTACAATAGGCCCAGTGGTCTGTATACCCTGGAAGGGGTCTGTTCTGGTTAACCTGCAGACAATGTGTGACTTGGCTGGAGCACTGAGTCACTGGAAAAGCTGCCTGAGAACTACTGAAAGGGGTCACCAGAACTAAAGAATGCAGAAGCACCCAACCAGATGGGAGCACTCGCAAGAGGTGGATGCCAACCCCATTACAATGCAGATATGTTAGCGTATAGAGTAAACGATTAACCAATAAGCCTAGTCTTATCAATTTAATCCTATTGACTACATGCACTCCCTCCCCCTTGCTGCCTCTGGCTTTAAGCAGGCTTCCCAGAAGCACTGAATCTGCCTGCCCTGCCTACCCCCTGTGCTTCTCCTTCTGAAAGAAAGGCAGCACCAGCTCTGAGGTGTTGCGCCTTCCCACCCTGATCAGGCTAGAGGACTGCTGCAAAGCAGTCCGTGTCCGCAAGGGGTCTAAGCTCCCTGTGGAAAAAAGCTGCTTTACATCCCATGGAGCCGCCTCTGTTCGCAGTAGGCCTGGGCCTACCATGAGCAGAGGCTGCTTCGCAGCAGCAGCTGCTGTCTGTGGGGGTCCTAGCTCCCCATGGACAGAGGCTGCTCCATGACATACAGAGGCAGTAGCACGGGAGAATAGGCAGATGGTCTGCGAGGGCAGCTAGATTTTAAACTGGCTTCCTTCATGTACCAGCTCCCGCCTGCCACCCTGCTCTGGTTCCCCTGGTAGAGTGGCTGCAATGTGGGGTAGCAGGGGGATCCCCAGGAGTGGGGTTGGAGTGCACTAGCTGCCGACTCCGCCCTTGGGGACTGTCAGATAGCTGTGTAACTGATAATATTTTATGCAGTTGCACAGCTATTCAATTACGCGAAATCTAACATCCCTATTACAATGGGCTTCTTCTGCTCTGAGCTAGAGCTCAAACTACTGATGTGATGTAGGCAAAAAATGTCAGTCAATTTTTACCAAGGATAGTATATTGCACTCACTAAATCTTTGGGGAACCAAATTAAGAACAGTACTTTAAAAGATGTAGATTTTCCTACATAATCCATGCATCACTATAGAAAAACTGGTTTATGTGCTTTAAATTCTACTCTTTTAAGTTTTGTAAAATCCTAACATTTCCTCAGATTGTTTTCAGATTTGTTGTGGCATGTGGCAGCATGGAGTGGTCCAAAACCTGGTTCCTTCTGCTGCTTTGTACTATTAAAGTGAGAGGTATTAATGACCAAATTAATTATAGACATCTTAATACCTATGAACAAACTCTTCAGTTAACATATCTAAGCATAAATTATTCCCAAGCTTCCATCCTAGGGTCTATTTACATTTAAAATGCTACAGTGACACTCCAGCAACTCCCTGAGAGGTGGTAGCTAGATCAGTGGAAGAATTTTTCCATTGACCTAACAATGTCTACACTGGGGCTAGGTCAGCATAGCTCAGTCTCTAAGGGGTGTGGATATTTCACACCTCTGAGGGATGTAGCTACACCAATGTAAATTCCTAATGTACACAAGGTCTAAGACAAAGTCATAGAATAATAGAACTGGAAGGGACCTTGAGAGGTCATCAAGTCCAGTTCCCTGCCTTCGCGGCAGGACCGAGCACCATCTAGATCAATGGTTCCCAGCCTTTTTGATATCAGGAACTGGCAAACCTATGCACGAACTTTTGGTGGACTGGCAACATTTGCATATTCATTATACAAATAATAAATATGCAGATAATGTTACTGGTCTGCCAAAAGCCCTGGCTTCCAGAGTCTCCCAGTGCCAGACCTAATCCCTAGAGCCCCTAACCCCTCCACTACCTCTCCCTGCCAGCCACTGACCCCAGAGTCACCTGCACCCAACCCTGCCAGTGCCAGCCTCCACCCTCAGAGCCCCCCATGCGCCAGCCCCCCCCACCCAGCCCCCCGCCAGTGCCAGCCTTCTGTTTCCCATTGCACCCAATCCCCCTGAGCCTCCCCCAAGTCCCTGGTATTAGCCCCAACCCCAGAGCCCCCCAGTGCCAACTCTGCCCACATAGCCTCCCCACTACTAGCCCTGGCCCCAGAGCCCCCCAGCACTAGCTGTGCCCCCGGAACCCTCAGTGCCTGCCCTGCACCCCTCACCTAGCCCTGAGCTGCTTCCCAGCTGCCAGATGAGCACTGATGCCCTGGTCACTGCTGCTCTAAGGCTCCTGTGCTGAGCTTCACATGGCCTTCCCACTGATCAGCAAAGCACTCTTCCATGGCTGGGAAGAGACCCCCTCCCTGCCAGGCATGGCAAGAGCCCAGCCACCGACACATGCATGGGATTGGCAGTGTCTGTGGCACAAGCAACAGGGGCAGGCACATGTTTCTAGTGGCTCGAGAGTTTCTCCCGAGGCTGTTAACAATTGGGCCTTGTGGCGCAGTGTCACTCAGCCTGTGTGTGTCTCAAGCTCGCAGCACCCACTTGACAGCTGGGTGGTACGAGCCCCCCTGACATCCATTGTTTTAGTGAGGGAGCCCGGCTCCCCCTGCACAACTCCGGCTGACGCTGCTGGCTGCTGTGCCCTGGGATGTTGGGAAGTGATCAGACACGTGATGCAGGCTGGAACTGGCAGGGGAGACCCCGTGGGGCAGCTGGGCCCTGTCGGAGGAGGGGCAGAAATCGCAGACACCGAGTGCAGCTCTCCGGGGCCTCTAACCTGATTGTCTGTAATACCAATGAAGGCTGGGACGCTCATGGCCACGAAGGCTCTGCAGCTCTCCGGGGCCTCTAGCCTGATTGTAATACCAATGAAGGCTGGGACGCTCATGGCCACGAAGGCTCTACTTGCTGTTCCCGAACACACTGCCTGAAACACACAGGATACAGGCAGCTGCCCACCATGCAGCCCTGACAGCCAGGCATATTGCTGCCGCCAGAGCTGGAACTAGGGCCGTGGTGAGGCTGCCAGGGTAGAGACAGCCTCACCTCAGCCCGATTCCAGTCGGTGCACACCGGAGCAGTCCACAGCACAACTTACTGTGGGAAGGCGAGAGGAGAATTTTTAGTATGCATGCAGGCATGCATCTTATTGGGACTGGAACTCCCTAGCAGGCAGGGCTATTAGCAGCTGAGGGCGTGGACTGGCAAAATGCCATAGCCCAGCAGGCAGGGGTTTGCGGCCCGCAACTGGTCTGTGGACTGACGGTTGGGAACCGCTGGTCTAGATCATCCTTGGTAGATATTTATCTGACCTGCTCTTAAATATTTCCAGTGATGGAGATTACACAACCTCCCTAGGTAACTTATTCCAGTGTTTAACCACCCTGACAGGAAGTTTTTCCTAATGTTCAACCTAAATCTCCCTTGCTGCAATTTAAGCCCATTGCTTCTTGTCCTATCATCAGAGCTCAAAGAGAACAATTTTTCTCCCTCTTCTTTGTAACACCTTTTTAGATACTTGAAAACAGCTATCATGTCCCCTCTCAGTCTTCTCTTTTCTAACTAAACAAGCCCAAAAAGATTCTTTGACTGAGTGTCTGGAGATTACTCACTAATTGCAGCAAGAGGGTGCAGCTTCATTTTGGGGGCAATATAATCAAAATATGGGGGCAGATTAGACATGTGAATCCTTTTTAGCAGTGG